CAGAAACTTTAATTTTGCTTATGCTTTACTGACCACACAACATCCAATTGTTTCCTTTCCCCACTCTAATTACACAGAATTTTATGTTGCTTTGTCTCACCTTAGGAAAAAATTCACATCACTCACTGTTCCTCTGACCTGTATATTTTAAAGAAAAATAAGTTTTGGCTTTATGCTGGGTTTGTCTTTAAGTTTACAAAGCTCTTAAAGCGGACCTTTACATTCAAAAGTCAAATTCTACCAATGCATTTCTCTACGTATGATTATTTATAATAACATAGACATGTCAGGTGTGAAATGCTGTGATTTTAGGAATACTTAGACCTGCAGAGCATTCACTTCCTGTTTTGAAAGTGCAAATGACTTCAGTTTGTCAAAGCAATGTACACTTGGATTGCCTTGTCATCAGCAGAGCATTGCTGGGAAATCTTATCTGTAATCTCATGAGATTTCCGGGAAAGGCATTTTCTTCCTCTGAGACGATGTGCATGGTCACAGTAATCTAGAGAGCTAGTAATCTGCACTTAGTAAACGTGGCCACTGTCAGAAGACTGGGGAAGAAAAAAGAAATAAGGTATGCACGGAATACAAAGTGTGCAATTATCTATATGTATGTGATTGTAGATTGTCATTACTAAACATTTCTAAAGGTGTGTTTATTATTTTAAATATATGGGTAAAGGTCCGCTTTAAAAGGTTATATAATCTATTTCTGTGAACAACTGTTATGTTCTCAATTGATGGGGAAAGTGGGGCGAGGTTATTCTTACATCTGACCCTATAACTATGGTAACTGTAGACAGCTGGCATTTGTTTTCCATTTGAAGTCTGATTCCATCAGAGTATATTTCTTGATTGTTCGTCACAGGACACAGGGACTTGATTCTGAGTTATGCAGCCTCCAGGTGATTGGACATTAGCAAATCAATTAAAGTTGTAGACTGCCACGTACAACCCCTTCCACTCCCACTCCCAGCCTGTGCCCATAGATGATGCACGCCTTCTCTGAGCGAAGTACCTTCTTTTCTGATCTATTCTCCCCAAGATTCTTCTCGCAAGTTTCTGAAATGCTGATTACAGCCGTATCCGGATTAATTTTCTCCTCAGTAGAGCCCTGGTGGACCTTACCCAGAAGGAAGATTCAGAGCTGGCCTGTAATGGGTTAGGGCACCGGACCCCTCTGCGGGGCATTCTCCTTGGCACTTTGTGCAGTGTGGATAGTTGCTGCAGGATGACTTACAGGTTCAAGGTCATGGTTCATTGTGGGTGGGGGTGGAATGTCAGCTTGAAAGAGGAACTCCAGGAATCTAAAAAAATGTACCGTTGCAGTGGGGCTACCACGCACTGTCAAGGGTTATCTGCTCGTTTTGGTCTAGGGGCTACAATACAAAATATATATTTGGTCCTGTGCTCATTTCACTCCCCCTCGGCTCTGGCTGTGGTATGTCCCTCGGTGTCTACACATCTAATACATGTAAATTTTTTTAGATTCCTGGAGTTCCTCTTTAAATTACTATGTTGTGGAGTCAGTTACAACTCTGAGGGTGGTAAGTCAGGGACTGTCCCTGCTTCTGTAATCAGTTCTGTTCCCTGGAAGGTGCTCATGACAGATACAAGCCTGTCAGACGGGAGATAAGTCCTGGGAAACCTCTTGGTTCACAGCACCTGGTCAATGTCCTCTTCGGGCATCCTTTCAACGCTGGACCCCCTTGATTACAAGGCCATAAAACCAGGATTTAGGCACCAAAGTTCCCATGCCTATCTCCTTGCAGAGCAATTCTGCTTACATCCCTTTACAACTTCAGGCTATTAATCTACCTCTGAAGTCTCTGACTTCTACTTTAACCAGCGCTTTGTTTTACCATCCTTATGTCCTTCACCAACTCATCCTAAAAAAATGTCCTTCACTGTTTGTACATGGTTCAAGCTGTTCGTTTACCTCTCTGCTACAGCTTCCATCCGCATGTCATTCCTAAGGGCCCCTGTATGGGGCAGCTAGCTCTTAGCTCACCGAATCCACCTATTAATAATGGAGCAATCAGTTGAAAGGTAAAGTTCCCTCCTTTCTTCTATTAGAAGCATTAGTACTTCTTAGGTCCTCTAAACTGTGGACCCCTTCTGTTATTGTTCCCCCATTAAAGGTTAGTTTTTTTTCAGGCCTATTAGCCATTGTTTGTTGTGCCCACCCCTCTGTTTAACTTCTGTAAAATCCATTCCTTGGAATAAATCATAGAAGCCACCTTCCCTCTGATTTCTATGATCCACTCTTATCCTGCTTGCTACAAAGCTGAAGCAGGCTGGGAGTGGCAGGAGTTATACAGCGCTGTCTTATAGCTTTGATTAATTTGCCAATATCCAATCACCTGAAAGTAGCAGCATAACCCATTGATCAAGGCATTTAACTCTCTCTCTCTCCTGTGATGTAGTCCTAGAATCAGACAAAAATCCTGTTTTTCTCTCATTCCATGACCTAGAGGTATGGTATTGAATGATTAAAAAAAGAAATATATATATTTCATACATATGTGTGTATATGTATATGTATTTTCCTCCTTTTATGTTTTGTTATAATACTAAACCTTGGTTTGCTGGAAAGCATTGATTTGTATTTGAGCATAGACAACAGACAGAGAAAGAGCAAAGCCCATGAGTAGTATAACTGAGAGTGGCAACTGGCCTTTCCTTATCTGTACATTCTGACAACAGCATTAGGGGTAATTTATCAAAACGGGAGCAGACAGAATCTGGAGCAGTTGCCCATACTAACCAATTAGCTGCTCTCTTTAGTTTGTTCAGTTAAGCTTTGAAATTGAAGGATTGCTTGTCATGGGCAACTGCCCCAGATTCTGTCTGCTCCAGTTTTGACAAATTTCTCCTAATTGTTCTTTAGGGTTCAGGAAGATGTCTGGTGCACAGTGCTTACAGGCAGGTACACGGTATTATATACTTTAAAGGAAATGTAGTATGTACATGCCATTCTCTTCCATTTTTTGAATCATTGTGGACAGTGAGCTATGTTGATTGGCACAATAGACAAATATGCCATGTCACAAATGGGCTCTGATTGTTTCTTCTCAAGCATATTGGGACCTTAATTAGGAATTTCATACTGCATACCCATAGTACACCATTGTTCTTCCTGTACAAAGTTGGTTTTGCATATTTTTCTTATTCAATATGAAATTTAAAGTTTTGTGTTTCATCTGTAAAATAAAAGTAAACTTACCTTCTCTATTTGGTTGTGCATCTTAATCTCAGCAGAGCCTTTATTCATGGAAAACATATTTAGGCATTTCTTCAAAGTGTTAGTCAATGTAGCATTTGAGTGTGTTTTATAGTCTAATGTTTCATTTAGTGCCTAACATCCCACAACAGACAAGGATGGAATAGTTAGAACTGCCCACTTATACAGACATCTAACACACATTAATCCTGTAAAACAAGACTTGTTTCCTTCAGTTTGTCTATTACTGGCCTTTAGAACTTGATGGCAGATTACATAGCGCTAATAATGCACCATACATTGCCCCGGAGATGATATGCTACATTACAGTAATGTTATACCCTTTAAAGTTCTCTCTGCAAATGGAATTTAGGAAATAGTATTACTTTGTTTTTGAGTTTTCATGCTTAAGTTAAATGTTTATTTCACTCACTACTCTTATGAAAGGTTATTATTTTACCTTTTCTGATTCCTCCCTCCCACATCATCAACATGCTAATGAAAATTTTAATTTAAACCTTTCAATTTTTATTGCTTACCTTAGTTTAGCTGCAGTGATGCCATCACTATGGCCCTCTGCTTCTCTGTGCAATGCAGGCAGATCATGAGAGGTGGGAGGGGCAAGTCGGGTGCTGTACATAAATTAACCTTGTGCCCCGCTGTGCTAATTATACATTAGATTGTCAATGCAAAAATATACAAATGAGTCAGTGACTTTTATTAACATATACAAACCCTGCAAACACATCTTAAAACAAAAAGTGTCAAATTATTGTACACAGTGAACTATGGAATAATATGTAACTAAAAGTGTCCACAACCACACTGTGCTACACCTGAAAAAAACAAAGTCCAACACACAGTAAAAAATATATGTCTCATCTGCTACTTTAAATTGTTGTCAAATCGTACTCCACCAACAGTGATCTGATGAACACACTTCTTCCAACACCCTGTGCTTCTCCCCCACCAAAATAACTCTCACCTCCTGGGAAGAGCTTTTAGGGCCCATTCACACCATGCCCGGATCATCTCCAGACCAGACCAGATTGTTTCCGGACCCAAAATGCACCCTTATGTATTGCAATGCTATTTCTGGCCTCTGTTAACACCAGCGCAGTCCATAGCAGACCAGAAAAATACTGCTTGTCCTATTTGGTCTAGAATGCACTGGAACGCACCTGTAAGACAATTTTAGGCAAACAAGAAAATTCCAAACACGGCAAAAACGCAATGCACTGCGTTCCAGATCTGGTCCAGAAAATGGTGTGAACCTGCCCTAAAGGTGGGATAATTCTAA